AATGACCATGAAGGTCAGAAGATGAGCAGCGCGAAATTCCGCCCAGAGTTCAGAGTCGTCTTCGTCCGGCGTCACCACATCGTCGTCGACGAACTTCTTCAATTTGGCGATCTCTAGCTGGGGTTCGATTGACTCAATCCATGTGATCAAGTCGTGTCGTCCTTCGAGCGGCTTCGGCACAGCGATCTTGTCCGGCGAAAATTTGAAGTAGCCGTACGCCGGCGCGATGCCTCCGTCGCGACCAGCCGACGCATGAGTCGCCGATGTCGGCCTGGCTCCACTCCGCTGAGGAGAAAGGCGTCGACCATCGATGTTGTCGTTCGAACTTGCCGTTGCCACCGAGCGCTGATTTCGTGCCTACATTCCGCCGACGCCAACGTCGTCGGCCCAAATCACTACATGAAGCCTCGTGCTGCCTTCGCTGCCGACTTGGTTACCACCGTCGACCTGGTCGTCGACGCCACCTTCGTTGCGTGCCGGTCGGGGAGTGGCGGGCAGTCCATTCGTCTCAGTACGGATCGTTGGGTGATCGCGCGCCCACTGTACGCGGGTTCCAAAGAGCAGAACATCCAAGTTCGCTCTGCCGTACTCGCCAGCCGCGTGGCGTGCCCGAGCATCATCTAACTGCGCTTGCAGGGTATCCTCTACGCCTGCAGCGACCTCCTCCTGGTCGACCATGGCGATCTAGACGGCTGCCGGCTTACAACGACTTAGGTATTGGGTTCAGAAGTCGGCTACACTTAAGGTTCTAACGCGGGGCCGTTCCACGCTCACCGCACCATGCGGAGAGTCACCCTACAACGGGAGTGGACTACGAAGGAGGGCACGGGGTTGTGTGGGTGATCGCAGCGCTCTAGTAGCGTTCTAACAGAGTTCTCACTACTTGCTCTGTTCACAGAGAGATTTGGCAAGAGTTTCCACTAAGGAAATTGAAAGTACATTGAGAAATTGAGAACTAGAGTACAAGAATCAGCATGCAAAACGATATCTCTGGAATGACCTTGCAATCCCTAGCAAGCATTCTGCAAGGCAAAATGCCAGCACTGCATCAGAGCGATTCGCCAACGCTGAAACAGAGCGGTCTGCCAGCGTAGCAGAAGTTCGACATGCCAGCGCTGCAGCAGGGCGGCCTGCCAGCGCTGCATTCGCAGGTGAATATCTGCGCAGGTGTGCACCTGCCGAGTAGGTGCAGGTAGACGGTTGCACCGTCAGAGACATTGCGCAGGTGCCAGGTAGAAAACGCTCCGACGGTTTCATCAGGTGTCCACCGTCGAGCACGTGATGCCATTTCGCAGGTCGAATTTCGCTAAGAGCCACCTGAGCAAATTTCGCATGCCCCGACAGAGTTTCGCAGTCGCGCGAATTTGGCCAGCCAGTTCGCCGAGATGAGACTCGCCGAATAGCGCCCTTTGATCAGAGAACGGGGTTCCTCGAAACGAACCCCGTCCGTCAGAGATCGCGCTGCCCAGAAGCAGATCAGAAGACGAGCTTGTCGAACAGCACCCCATCGACCAGAGCTCGTTGATGGGAACTGGTGAATCAGAGGACAACCTCCTCGAAAACCACCCGCGGTTTCAGAGGACGGGCTGATCCAACGCGACGATCACTTCGTTGATTTCACCACGTTGTCACAGAGAATGCCTGCGCCCAAGCGAGGGCGGGGCCTTTCACTCCGACACTTTGAACACAAGCAATTTGCAAACGGTATGGACACTACCACTGAGGCATCTCTTGCCACGTTCCATTGGGAGCCTGCATCAAGAAAGTCATCGCTGCGACCCCGACTGCTGGGTCATATCAAATAGATACGTCGTGCTCGTGTAGGTTGCTCACCCATCCGTCACTTCTATGGCACCACTGCCTAGGTTTCTCTTTCTTTCTATGTCTCCGTCACATGGTTCACCACAATGGTCTCTGATCTTCCAACATCACTCACATGTCAGAAACTACAGGCAGGAATGGATGAACTAGATGAAATTTGGGTACAAATATGAAACCCTAAAGGGGCTATACCCCATATTGGCCACCCCACTACAGCCTATACATATATAATACATATATAATGTTTGACACACCCCCATAAGCAAAGTGGGGGAGAGCAAGGGGTCACAAGACCAGTCAAGAAAAGCAAAGCAAGCCCAGGGTGGATCACAACGTCACCACACACACTGAGCATAAGCAAAGGGCCACAAGGCCAGTTCACATGCAGAGGTATATATGCAACAACAACAGTACAGTGATCACTACCTAGCAAGAGCAAGCATGCAGGTATATGTATATATAATACATATACATATATAGATCACAGTACAAGCAAAGTCTACAGCAAGTGCGGAAACGTAGGCACAAGGCCTAACAAAGTACAAAAACGCTGATGATCACCAGACGGAAGCGCCTTGGTGAATATATCAGCAGTGTTGGCCCGAGTGGCCACGTGAGCAAGACGAAGCTGACCACGCTGCTGCAACTCTCGAGCCAGGAAGTAATGCAGAGCGATGTGCTTCGTTCTGTGCTCCTGACACAAGGCAATGGCAGCCTTGTTTTCGACGTACAGGAGGAGAACGAGGCCTCTCTCCCAAGTCGGTCAGTAGGTAGGTGAGCCAGCGTAACTCCTGTGCAGCCATGGCTGTGGCGTAGATCTCATCCTCACAACTGTAGCTGAGAATAGAAGAAGAGCGAGTAGACCCTAAGAAACAGAATCGGAGCCAAGACTGAAAGTGTAACCCTGTGACGACCGCTGCGTAGCCAGGTCGTCAACCCAAGACGCGTCTAAGTGTCCAGTGAGGACAACGTCACCCCGTCCTCCAAGCACGAGCCCCATGCCCGATGTACTGCACAAGTAGCGCAGTACCCTCTTCGCAGCATCCATGTGCACCTTTCGGTGCCGACCAAGAGCCACGTAGCGTGCCAGAAGGCTAAGAGGGTACGCAAGGTTAGGTCGAGTGCAGGTCATCAGGTACATGAGGCAGCCCACTAGCTCTGGGTAAGGACCACTCGGCTCTACGGACTCGTCCGAAGGTGGAGCTGAGAGCGAGTGACCTGTAGCCAGAGGAGTGGACTATGGCGAGGACCAGGTGAAGCCGAAGCGCTGAAGGACCTGCTGCACCATGTGTGACTGAGTCAGTGTGATGGTGCGGCGTGCTCTGTCTCGGGTGATCTGCAAGCCAAGGTAACTGCGCAGCTCACCCAGGTCTGTGCACGTGTGTCTCTTCTGCAGCTCCGACTTCACCAGGGCGTGCACGGGGCAACGCGACGCGGGGTAGCAACAGGCAGCGCGAAGGCTGCAGGACGGCGTGCGCAGCGCAGCATGTCACGGAGGCTAGGCAGGGCGCGCGCGGGCGGCGCAGCGCAGGCAAGGCAGGGCGCGCGCGGGCGGCGCAGCGCAGACATGGCAGGGCGCGCGCGGGCGGCGCAGCGCAGGCAAGGCAGGGCGCGCACAGGCGGCGCAGCGCAGGCAATACGTGTGGCAGCACAGTAACCGCAACGGTAGGTGGGCCCGAAAAAAAACGGTCCTACGGACCTACTGCTCTGAAACCATGTCAGAAACTACAGGCAGGAATGGATGAAAGTTGGGTACGAATATGAAACCCTGAAGGGGCTATACCACATATTGGCTACCCCATATAATTTGACACACTCGCCTCACTCCCTCCTTCGTCTACGATTTCGTGCACTCCCTGCATTGAGGGCCGGCCCGCGCCGCCCCTCGCCTCTCGTTTCCTTATAGGACTAGTTGTTCTATCCACATTATATAGAAGACACGCAAATACATGTTTTATTAGCACATTACTGTCTGCCGCAAAAAAAAAGTGCAGGAAACCCCCCGAAAGGGAGAGTGAAGGAGAGAGAGAATCACAGCGGAATATGCAGTGGTCGGCAGATGCAGAGGCAGTAGATGCAGCGGCAGCACCTGCACTGACAGCAGGTGTGGCGGTGGCAGTGCGGCGGCTGCAAGTGCAGCAGATACGCAGCAGGTGCTCAATGATGGCTGTTGCAGCAGAGATGCAACAAGTGTGGCATCGGCAGGTGCAATGTCTGCAGCCCCGGCAAAGGCCCGTGAGGAGGAGCGACAAGAGGAACGGACAGGCGAGAGGAGAGAGGCAGCTGGCATTGCAGTCTCACGCCAGCACGCACCCCCCCCTAACTCCCCCCCCCCTCCCCCTCCCCCCCAACTCCTTTTGTCAAACCCCCACAGAAGCGGCTGCGGGAGGGCGAGCAGAAGATAGGATCGACAACAATTGCCCCTGCAGTCGTGATGAGGAGGACTAAGGAGGGGGAGTGTTGTGTGAGGGGAGGAGGGGGTGGGGGGGGGGGGGGGGGGGTTGAGGTGGGGAGTAAGTTGGGGGGACGTGAGGGACTAGGAACTTCAGGCCCACCTCCCTCCCAAAACATCCGTCGCGGCAGGGCGCGGCAGGGCGCGGCAGCAGGCGCAGGCGCGGTGGCACAGTCAACACACCTGCCATTTCCTGCCTATGTCAGCAGCCGCTGTAGGGCGCGAAAAGGACAGCCGCAGTTGGGGCTTGGCAGGGCGTTGGCTGGGGCGCGTGCGGCGCTGAAAGCTGGTGCTGCAGGAAATCGCCACCCCTGCAACCCCCTCTCCCTCCCTCCCCCCCCTACAGCAGCAGCCACGACAGCGAGGCGCTGGCTGGCAGGGGCCACACGGGTGCCGCACGGGCTCTGTTATCGAACCTGCTCCAACACCATATTAAAACTTACGGTAGGTACAACGTAGGTAGAGGAAGTGACAAGAGAAGAAGAGAGTTAAATTAGAAAGAAGGCTACAACGTATATAGACGAGAGCAAGACCAAGGGGTGCACCACCAACAAAGAGTAACATTACACTGGAATATATTCTAGGCAGGCTTTATAGAAAACTGCATTCCAGACACTTCGACACTAGTTGGTGTCAATGATACTGTGTGCTACCAGTAACCGAAAAGCCTTATGTTACTGTAGAGTCGACATGTGCTCATAAGATCCGCATGAGCAGCCGCGAGGGATCAGTCGGAGCCATGAGGGGCACAGAGGTGAGCAAGCCAGCGCTGGTGCTGAGAGAAGAGCCCACACACCACCTGCACCTCCTCCTCCCCATGCGTCCTCAAGTCTCCCGGTAGCCACAGCGGCCCATCCACTCCCTCCTCTCCCTCCGTCCCCTTCCATCCCTCCCCTCCCTCCTGTCCCTCCCTTTCCTCCACTCCTCTCTCTCCCTCCCTCCCCGCCATTCCACCCTCGCCCCCCACGCCCTGCTTCCCGCCCACATCCCCCTCTCCAGCGGGCACGGCCGGCAGGTGGCGCCCAATCGCCACGGGTGCGGTGGTGCTGGCACTGAGGCGGCGGGACGGTGGGGCGAGGCGGCCGTGCGCGTGGTGGCAGGCGAGCAGCAGCATCATGGCCGTGTCCGGCTGGTGGGCCTCCCTCAGCGCCCTCAGCGCTGCTGTCAGACTGCCCGCCGCCACAAACAGCGTCACCGCACTGCACCGTGTGAGGAGGGGGAGGAGAAGGGGGGAGACGGGAGTGTGGAGACGGGGATGTTGAAGGGGAAAGGGGGGAAATGAGGTTATGAGACAGTGTGATGTACAACTGTGAAGAAGAGTGGGTTCCGCATGTGGAGAGTACACAGGAAGAGCAGAATGTTTGCAGCGCATGAGTGTAAGAATTACACTGCATTACATCCACACCCTGCCTCACCACCACACCCTACTGTCACGCCTCACCACCACACCCCACCGCTCACCGCCACAGGTCATGCTCATTCTTCAGAGTGTGCTGCGCCCATCGATGTAGCACCCTGTGGCATGCCAAGCCATGGGGAGGGGGACATGCGATACCAAGCACATAGGGTGTTGGGCATTGGTCATGTGGTGAGAGGCTTGTTATGCCGACCTTGTAAAAATGGCAGTATTGAATCATGGCATGATGATGACATGCACAACGATGGCATGATGATGACATGCACAACGATAACATGTAAGGGCTGGTTGGGGATGAGAGTAACGGGAGCAAGGAGGTGGGACCTTACTTGGCCCTATCAGCGCCTGACAGGTGGCAAGCTGCGAGCGTTGATGCATCCACCCATCGACCAATGGCTTGCAGCTGATGGCACGGGACGGTGATGGTGGGCACGAGGGATGGTTGAGATGATGGGTCTTATGGGACTGATGGTGAATGCACAGTAAAAAAGCCTTTAGGAGATGATCAAACCTGCTACAAATATCTGAGTGCACACACACGTGCACACACATACCTGAGTGCAGGCGTCGGCATACTGGCCGATGGAGCAGAGCAGGTGCACGGCTGTGAGGGGCTCCCCCGCCAGCACCATGTTGGTCGCCACCACCTGCCCGCCGCATGCCCAGAAGTGCCCCCGGTTGCAATGCACGGCAGAGATGGACATGAGAGGAGAGAGGGAGGGGAATGAGAGAGGACAGAGGGAAATGAGGAGTAAAAAAAGAAGGGGGTGGAGTGGGAAACGTGAGGAGAGAGAATGGGGCGAGATAGCACTCAGAGACGCAGTAACATGCGTGGAGGGCAGCTTGCCTTGGCAGCCAGGTGGTGCATGGAGGGCAGCTTGCCTTGGCAGCCAGGTGGTGCATGGAGGGCAGCTTGCCTTGGCAGCCAGGTGGTGCATGGAGGGCAGCTTGCCTTGGCAGCCAGGTGGTGCATGGAGGGCAGCTTGCCTTGGCAGCCAGGTGGTGCATGGAGGGCAGCTTGCCTTGGCAGCCAGGTGGTGCATGGAGGGCAGCTTGCCTTGGCAGCCAGGTGGTGCATGGAGGGCAGCTTGCCTTGGCAGCCAGGTGGTGCATGGAGGGCAGCTTGCCTTGGCAGCCAGGTGGTGCATGGAGGGCAGCTTGCCTTGGCAGCCAGGTGGTGCATGGAGGGCAGCTTGCCTTGGCAGCCAGGTGGTGCATGGAGGGCAGCTTGCCTTGGCAGCCAGGTGGTGCATGGAGGGCAGCTTGCCTTGGCAGCCAGGTGGTGCATGGAGGGCAGCTTGCCTTGGCAGCCAGGTGGTGCATGGAGGGCAGCTTGCCTTGGCAGCCAGGTGGTGCATGGAGGGCAGCTTGCCTTGGCAGCCAGGTGGTGCATGGAGGGCAGCTTGCCTTGGCAGCCAGGTGGTGCATGGAGGGCAGCTTGCCTTGGCAGCCAGGTGGTGCATGGAGGGCAGCTTGCCTTGGCAGCCAGGTGGTGCATAGCTTGCCTTGGCAGCCAGGTGGTGCATGGAGGGCAGCTTGCCTTGGCAGCCAGGTGGTGCATGGAGGGCAGCTTGCCTTGGCAGCCAGGTGGTGCATGGAGGGCAGCTTGCCTTGGCAGCCAGGTGGTGCATGGAGGGCAGCTTGCCTTGGCAGCCAGGTGGTGCATGGAGGGCAGCTTGCCTTGGCAGCCAGGTGGTGCATGGAGGGCAGCTTGCCTTGGCAGCCAGGTGGTGCATGGAGGGCAGCTTGCCTTGGCAGCCAGGTGGTGCATGGAGGGCAGCTTGCCTTGGCAGCCAGGTGGTGCATGGAGGGCAGCTTGCCTTGGCAGCCAGGTGGTGCATGGAGGGCAGCTTGCCTTGGCAGCCAGGTGGTGCATGGAGGGCAGCTTGCCTTGGCAGCCAGGTGGTGCATGGAGGGCAGCTTGCCTTGGCAGCCAGGTGGTGCATGGAGGGCAGCTTGCCTTGGCAGCCAGGTGGTGCATGGAGGGCAGCTTGCCTTGGCAGCCAGGTGGTGCATGGAGGGCAGCTTGCCTTGGCAGCCAGGTGGTGCATGGAGGGCAGCTTGCCTTGGCAGCCAGGTGGTGCATGGAGGGCAGCTTGCCTTGGCAGCCAGGTGGTGCATGGAGGGCAGCTTGCCTTGGCAGCCAGGTGGTGCATGGAGGGCAGCTTGCCTTGGCAGCCAGGTGGTGCATGGAGGGCAGCTTGCCTTGGCAGCCAGGTGGTGCATGGAGGGCAGCTTGCCTTGGCAGCCAGGTGGTGCATGGAGGGCAGCTTGCCTTGGCAGCCAGGTGGTGCATGGAGGGCAGCTTGCCTTGGCAGCCAGGTGGTGCATGGAGGGCAGCTTGCCTTGGCAGCCAGGTGGTGCATGGAGGGCAGCTTGCCTTGGCAGCCAGGTGGTGCATGGAGGGCAGCTTGCCTTGGCAGCCAGGTGGTGCATGGAGGGCAGCTTGCCTTGGCAGCCAGGTGGTGCATGGAGGGCAGCTTGCCTTGGCAGCCAGGTGGTGCATGGAGGGCAGCTTGCCTTGGCAGCCAGGTGGTGCATGGAGGGCAGCTTGCCTTGGCAGCCAGGTGGTGCATGGAGGGCAGCTTGCCTTGGCAGCCAGGTGGTGCATGGAGGGCAGCTTGCCTTGGCAGCCAGGTGGTGCATGGAGGGCAGCTTGCCTTGGCAGCCAGGTGGTGCATGGAGGGCAGCTTGCCTTGGCAGCCAGGTGGTGCATGGAGGGCAGCTTGCCTTGGCAGCCAGGTGGTGCATGGAGGGCAGCTTGCCTTGGCAGCCAGGTGGTGCATGGAGGGCAGCTTGCCTTGGCAGCCAGGTGGTGCATGGAGGGCAGCTTGCCTTGGCAGCCAGGTGGTGCATGGAGGGCAGCTTGCCTTGGCAGCCAGGTGGTGCATGGAGGGCAGCTTGCCTTGGCAGCCAGGTGGTGCATGGAGGGCAGCTTGCCTTGGCAGCCAGGTGGTGCATGGAGGGCAGCTTGCCTTGGCAGCCAGGTGGTGCATGGAGGGCAGCTTGCCTTGGCAGCCAGGTGGTGCATGGAGGGCAGCTTGCCTTGGCAGCCAGGTGGTGCATGGAGGGCAGCTTGCCTTGGCAGCCAGGTGGTGCATGGAGGGCAGCTTGCCTTGGCAGCCAGGTGGTGCATGGAGGGCAGCTTGCCTTGGCAGCCAGGTGGTGCATGGAGGGCGAGACGGCAGTAGCAAGCGCCACAGCTCGCAGGGCGTCGCGGTGGAAGGCGGGCGAGTCGAAGGGCGTCGCCAGCAGCAGCGTCACCGCCGCCTCCAGATCGCCCACCATGATGAACCTAAGCGCGCTCACACCACCGGGGGGAGAGGGGTGGAAAGAGGGGGGAAAGAGGGGGGGGGAAAGAGGGGGGAAAGAGGGGGGGGAAAGAGGGGGAAGGGGGGAAAGAGGGGGGGGAAAGAGGGGGGAAAGAGGGGGGGGGGAAAGAGGGGGGAAAGAGGGGGGGGAAAGAGGGGGGGAAAAGGAGAAGGGGGGTTAGCAGAAAGGAGGAGGCAAGGAATAGTTGGGCGTATGCAAGGAAAGTGGCTCCAGGCCGCTCAGGGAGCAAGTGGCTCCAGGCCGCTCAGGGAGCAAGTGGCTCCAGGCCGCTCAGGGAGCAAGTGGCTCCAGGCTGCTCAGGGAGCAAGTGGCTCCAGGCCGCTCAGGGAGCAAGTGGCTCCAGGCCGCTCAGGGAGCAAGTGGCTCCAGGCTGCTCAGGGAGCAAGTGGCTCCAGGCCGCTCAGGGAGCAAGTGGCTCCAGGCCGCTCAGGGAGCAAGTGGCTCCAGGCCGCTCAGGGAGCAAGTGGCTCCAGGCCGCTCAGGGAGCAAGTGGCTCCAGGCCGCTCAGGGAGCAAGTGGCTCCAGGCCGCTCAAGGAGCAAGTGGCTCCGGGCTGTCACATGTGATGCCATGCTCCCTCATCCACACTCCTCCCGCCTTACGCACTCGAGCCATCTCTTGCTGGTGGCATTAGCGCGTGCCACCTGGCTGTGCCAGTGGAGGGGTGAGTGATTATTCGACTCCCAAGTGACGGCGTGACTCACTCGTGCACGCGCTTGGAGGCGGCATCAGCGCCGGTGACCTGGCTGTGCCAGTGGATGCGCTCCAGTGCCATGCGCCGCACACCCATCTCGTCCCCCCACACCTCCACCTCCTCCCCCACCGCCTCCTCCCCGTACCCCTCCCCGCCCGCCCCTGCTGCTGCCTGCCAGGTATGAGGGCCGGGGGGGGGGGGGGGAAGTAAAAGGGGGATGAGGGCGTCAGGAGGTCAAGATGAGGGCGAGGGGAGGAGGGCGATGGCATGGGGGAGTGAAGGGGTGGGGAGCAGGGCGACATGAGCAGGGCGACATGAACAAGGCGACATGCGATGGCATGGGGATGTGAAGGGGTGGGGAGCGCGACATGACGAGGGCGTGAGACAAAAGAGGTTTTAGTGGCAGGATGGATGGACGGCGGGCACAAAAGGGGTGGCGGGATGGATGGACGGCGGGCAAGGGGACGGTTCAGCAGGCTCGCATACGTCAAGGGCAAGGCCTCTCTTCCACTGCTGCTCCTGCTGCTGCTGCTGCTGCTGCTGCTGCTGCTGCTGCTGCTTCTTCTCCTCTCCTTGCTCGTGCACAGAAGCCTTATCACTCTCTGCACTGCGCTGCTCATCGTCCCCCGCTCCACCCCCCCCTGCTTCTCTCTCCGCCTCGTCACCAGCCGGGCCCGTTGTGCCACCACCAGCACTGCCCCCAGTGCCAGCGTCATCGGTGGTGGTGCTGCCATCGGTGGCGGGTGTGTCGGGCGGCCAGAAGGCGTGTGGCCCCGCTGAACCCTGCGTGGGCGGGATGGGCAAGCAGAGGTGGAGGGCAGGGACGGGAGGAGGTAGGCAGAACAGGCGCTGTTGACGAGGACAGGTTGGGGAGGACAGGTTGAGGAGGGAAGGGGGAGGACGAGCACACAGGGGGCTGAGAGGTGACCCTTGGGAGGCGAGGCGGGCAAGTGATGGCAGGGAGGCACAGCGGGCGAGATAGGCAGTGCGGAGGATGGGGTGCAGGCCGACTCATGCGGGGGCACGGGGGCAGGATGCAGTTCAGCTACCTCTTGCAAAGAATCGTTAACGCGGTGACATGGAAGCAGGGAGTGCGATGGAAGCGGGGTTGTGATGGAGGGTTGAGGCGCATTGACCTGGGCGAGGAGGCGCAGCGCGTGTGGCAGCAGCAGCCAGAAGTGCGCCTCCTGAATGTCCCCGTAGTGCGCCGCCACACACGCACAGCGCGCCGCCACCCCGCCCCCACACACCTTGCTGTACGCCCGCGCCGCCTCCACCCCCATCAGCCGCCCTGCCCGCGGGGGTGGGCGGCGCATGAGGGGGCAGGGGGAATGACAGCAGGATGGATGGATGGTGAGATGAGGCACATGCAGGTCAAATGAGATGTGAGGGCATATTCCATGTTGGTGGCAGGGCAACTGTTCATCTCGAGTTGGTGGCAACTGTACCCAAAAACTTAGTGGGCCGGAAAATGTGCATGCCACCAACAGTGCGATGAACAGTTGCCCTGCCACCGACATGGAATACGCCCTGAGTCATCATTGCTAGTATACATGCCATTTTCAAGTCCAGAGCGGACCACCCACCTGCCACCCACCTGCCGCCCACCTGCCACCCACCTGCCGCCCACCTGCCACCCACCTGCCGCCCACCTGCCGCCCACCTGCCGCCCACCTGCAATCCGCTTTTGGCCCACCTGCCAAGCGCATGGGCTGCAGCCCCTTGAGCAGCACCTCAGCCATGGCGGGGTCGCCCACACCGCCCGGCAGCTGCCCGCGGTGCACCAGGTACGACAGCAGGTCGCCGCGTGCCCTGCCCTCCTCACCCGCCTCCTCCTCCGCCTCGCCCACCTCGCCCCCCTCCCCCTGGGCACCGGGGGGCAGTGGTGCCTCGAGCCACGCCGGGTGCACGCCCATGTGCAGCAGCAGGCGTAAGGCCTGGCAGGTGGGGGGCGTGCAGCGGGGAGAGGTGAGTGGGCGAGTGGGGACCGGGAGACGAGTGGTGGAAAGAACCGGGAGAGCGAGGGGAAGGGCAGTGGAAGGGTGAGATGGCAGGCTCAAGACATCTAGGCCGTAGATATCAGCCTAGTGTGAATTGCAGGTTGCAGCTGATCTCATCTCCATGGTGGGTGGGTTAACCCACCTCTCGCTCTTCTCAATCCCCACACATGCATTGCGTGTTCACCACCACACCATCTATACTGAATGACCTCCTCAGGCATTGAGTTCGTTCCTCATGCCTCACCATCCTACGCAAGGGCCTCAGGGCAAACAGCAGCGCAGGGCAGCACGCACCAGAGCGCAGGGCGCGGGCATGAGGGCGACGGAGCAGAGCGGCGAGGGGCGGAAGCGGTGCCACACCGCCAGGCGTGACGCAGGCAGGCGGTACAACGGCTGCTTCAGGGGGGCGTTGCTGGGGTCATGGGGGTGGGATGGCGACGGTTGTTCCGGGGAGGGCGATGAGGAGAGGGCGATGACAGGCAATGGGGGGAGGGGCAATGAGGAATGGTCAATGGGGAGAGGGAGATGAAGGAAAGGCAATGGGCGGACGGCGATGGGGGGAGGGCAATGGAGGGAGGGCAAGGCAATGCGTGCGTGGGAAGGACAATGGGGAAAACATGCCATGCCATATCCACGACCCTCCAATGGACCATGCATGGCAACATCTCCCCCCCATCCACTCCGCCCTCGTACTGACGTGGCGATGTCGAGCAGGCGCACGGTGCCGTCAGCCGCCGCCACGCACAGCAGCTGGCGCGCAGCAGAGGGCCCCACAGCGCACGGCCCCTGCAGCGGCAGCCAGTCCATCTCCAACACCTGCAGCGAGGCCGCTGTCTCCGAGGCCATCGCCCCCGCCACAAACTCACCCTCGTCCTGCACCAAGGGGGAAATGGGGGGAGGCGGGGATTGGTTTGAGGTGTGTTTGGTGGGGTTGGGGGTTGGTGTGAGTGAGCGTTGCAGGCGGATGCCAGATGACGCTGATGGTGGACGAACGAGGGCGGGTTGATAGAGGTCACAGCATGGCGAGATGGAATCATGCGCAGCAATGGCGACATGGAATCATGCGCAGCAATGGCGACATGGAATCATGCGCAGCAATGGCGACATGGAATCATGCGCAGCAATGGCGACATGGAATCATGCGCAGCAATGGCGACATGGAATCATGCGCAGCAATGGCGACATGGAATCATGCGCAGCAATGGCGACATGGAATCATGCGCAGCAATGGCGACATGGAATCATGCGCAGCAATGGCGACATGGAATCATGCGCAGCAATGGCGACATGGAATCATGCGCAGCAATGGCGACATGGAATCATGCGCAGCAATGGCGACATGGAATCATGCGCAGCAATGGCGACATGGAATCATGCGCAGCAATGGCGACATGGAATCATGCGCAGCAATGGCGACATGGAATCATGCGCAGCAATGGCGACATGGAATCATGCGCAGCAATGGCGACATGGAATCATGCGCAGCAATGGCGACATGGAATCATGCGCAGCAATTGCGACATGGAATTGTGAGAAGAAAAGTTAGAAGAGAAGTTGATGGATTGATTGAAAAGGATGGGGGGTTTACATAGGAGATGGGTTGGAAACTAGCCTAGGTGAACATTATTGGACCCCAACCAAGGAGTTGGGTTGGGAGATTATTGGTGGGGTCCAATAATGTTGGCCAAGTTGGAGTTGGGCCAACATTATTGGAGGGGACCAATAATTCTACCCATCCCAACCCTTGGGGTCCAATAATTGGACCAAGGTTGGGTTTCCAACCTACAAATTGGGTAACCCCTGCTTGTACACCCAAACTAAGTTTGGGTGCTTATCTCTAGCCTATCCTATAGCATATATGCAGGTTACAAGAGAGGAGATATTCTAACACAACCCCTTAACCTGCAGAGATGCGGAAAGGCTTGAGAGAAGCAACCCCTGAATCAAGGCGCGCCTGGGGGAGCGAGGCCAATGAGGCGGAGGAGAGCAGAGTGCGCGGGGCGAAGAAGTGCTTTGGTGAAGATATGCGTCAAATTGGCTTCAGTGGCGATCTTGCGGACGGCGATAAGATTCTGTCGGACGAGTTCGCGGATGAAGAAATAACGGAGCTCGATGTGCTTGGAGCGACCATGAAAGACTGGATCCTGGGTGAGATGGATGGTGCTGGCATTGTCACACCAGAGCGTGGGACAGCGCTGGGGGGCACCAAGCTCTGCCAGAAGAAAGCAGAGCCAGCGGGACTCTTGAGCGGCCATGGTGCCCGCATAGAGCTCAGCTTCGCAGGAAGAGAGAGCGATGGCTGAGGAGCGGGTGGAACGCCAGCTGATAAGTCCGCTGCCGAGGGTAAAGCCATAGCCTTGGGAGGAGCGGCGGTCTGGCTGATTGTCTGCCCAGGAGGAGTCACTGAAGCCCGAGAGAAGGGGAGGGGAGGATCCACCCAGTGTGAGAGCGTGATCCTTGGTGCCGCAGAGATAGCGGAGGACCCGCTTGGCGGCAGCCCAGTGTTCCTCAGTGTGACGGCCAGAGCCGACGAACCGAGCAAGGACGCTGACGGGGTAGGCGAGGTCGGGGCGGGTGCACATCATCGCGTACATCAGCGACCCAACGAGCTCGGCGTAGGGCCGGGAGGAGGAGGAGGGGGAGGTGGGTGGCGCAAGTTGGTGACCGAAGGGGAGGGGGGTGGAGACTGGTTTGGCCTGCGCCATCTCAAACTTCTCCAGGACCTGGCCGATGTAGTGGGACTGGGAGAGAGTGATGGTGCGGGCGGATCGATCACGGGTGATAGCCATGCCGAGGTAGTTCTGGAGGGGACCAAGGTCCTTGCACTTGAGTCGTTCCTGAAGTGACCGCTTCATCTGGTCCATGTCGGCCCTGGAGTCCGCCAGCAGGATCATGTCGTCAACGTAGACCGAGATGAAAAAGCGACTGGGGGAAGAGCGGATGAAGAGGCTGGCGTCGGAGTGGGAGGGGGAGAAGCCAAGGGACTGGAGAGTAGCAGACAGCTTCGCATGCCATTCTCGTGGTGCCTGCTTCAGGCCGTAGACCGGTCGCTTCAGCTGCCAGACGGTGTTGTCGGGGAACGTAGCATGGAACCCGGGAGGTCGGCGGAGAAAGATGCGTTCGTGCAGTTCACCTTGCAGGAAAGCGTTGGAGACGTCCATGGAGTCAATCTCCATGTCGTCTCTTGCACCGATGTCAAGAAGGGTGCGTAGGGTGGCCTGCTTGACGGTGGGGGCGAACGTGAACCAGTAGTCCTCAGCCCAGGTCTGGGTGAACCCCTTGGCAACGTAGCGGGCTTTGTAGACTGGTTCTTCTCCCGGCAGCTGCTTGACTCGAAAGATCCACCTGCCTTCAACCAGGTTGGCGTCAGGAG